CAGTAGGGTCATGGCAGTTTGAAGTCAGAAGTCAACTCCCAGATAATAGACTTTTAGCCGCATGAGTATACGTTGCCCAGGGTGCAGCACGTGGAGGTAAGTCTATCACACACCCCATGAGCCTCATAATTGAAAATAGGCATCCTGTTCTTTGCGTATTATGGCGAATGCAAGTGGGTTTAGAAGCTAGAGAAGTGGGGACGAGAGGTGTCTATTGCATCCGAACTGAGATTTTCTTCCAAACTGAATCTTACCGTTATGTTCTAGATGGGCTGTCGACCTTTAGACTTCTCAAAACTTCCCCATTTCGAACCCCTCTGTATTTACCTATTGATTAGTGTTTTGATATATCTTTGAGCGCCAAATCGTTGTATTGATTTCTAATTTACTCCTAGATGGTGATAAATTAATTAGATGTTCTCAAAAAGCTCCCTCCCTCTCGAGTGCCCATATTTGACATTAAATTACTGGATTAAATCATAGTTAGGCAATTAGCACATCTAGCCTATTTAAAGCGCAAACGACTTTTTTTGTATTGTGATATCGGTATAAGCGAATACGAGCTCCTTTAGAGTTGCTTCAATGAATTCAATGCTTTGATGGGTCTTTAGCTGCTGGTAGAGTAATTTCGCAGTTTGTCACATTGGAAATATTTAATTATGTCTTTTATACCTCTAAATCGAGGTTTTCACCTGAAAATTGCGAAGAATAATGAGCATTGGCATCATAATGGAATTCTCGAGATTCTTAAATTTGCTCCCGCCTTGGATTAACAAATTTAATCGTTTTAATGGATGGACTTCCAAGGTTGAAATTTGCCTCCACTTTAGCGGGCAGTGCCATCCTGCTGTCCTTGTTAATTTAATAATTTGCTAATGTCAAGGTGACATAACATCACACCTACCACCCAGGAACATTACGGCGGAATCCATTCTAAGGACATGAACCTCGGGGGCATCTCTCTGAGTCACCGTCAAGTTGTGAAGCTGTAATTGCGTCAGCGTTGGAGCAAATTTAATTAACTTTTTTTCTTGCCTACCTTGTGAACTTTTTCTGGTAATATAATTTACACGGCTAATTTAGTTAAGTTAGGCTGGTCGCTAAGTCAGTGCTGGCAATAATCATTTTGCCTGCCTACAGGAACATGGCGATCCAAATGTTAATGCAATCGAAACGGTTCTATTAGGTAGTTTCCAGAACAAAAATATCTAATTTAATCAGAAGCTCCTTCCCGCAATTTTGTCCACCATTCCAGTGGGGTTTTATAAGGTACCTATTGGTTACGAGTTATGAGGTTTAAGTGTTTTTCAGCTGCTGATTAAATTGTGGCTTTAACGGCTTCCCATAAAAATGTTTCACTTTTTTCTTATCTTTCGAAATGACTTTTGGGGTAATTAAGTAATGTGAATGAACTTGTTTATAATTAAAGGAAGATAATCCGTTTGTAATTCACTTTCATATACCCCTCTAAAGGACACAGGAAGAATGTTTATGTATGAATATATTTTAGTGAAACGAGATAAAAATTTTTAAACATACTATATTTCCTTCGTAATAAGGTCTGTTTCACTTGTGGGGAAGTAAATCGGTGATCTTTAGCATCTAAGGGAAAACATTTTAATTAATTATAGTTACCCCTTTCCCACCATAAGCACTCTTCATGGAATTTTAGGCAAATTTCTACTTCTTGAAATATAAAATACATTCCAAGTGAACAATTGTATCTAAGATTCTACACTCTACGTTATTTTAAATCTCGCCTTCAGTATCTGAAAAGTGAAAGAGTCAATATCGATTTACACGAGTTTGGAAACCGCAAGATAGTCCAGACCTTTAGGCCAGGTTTCGTTTACCTGGCGAACTACCAGCTAGAGGAGAAGGAATCACACTGGAATTAAATTTTATAATAAAAGCAATTATTTTGACCCAAAGAAGTGTAATGATGGGTAAGTAATCGAATTTAGACCAAACCAGTGGTAAGCAATTAATTGTTGTTCATTTGCTAAGATTAGCGTATAATATATTCATTTAAAGTGACTATGAATAAACTCTATCAGAGTCTAGTCAAAAATAGCATTGCCTTTTCGTTTTTTCTAGATTTTTTAATCATTTTAAAAGTCTCCTTATTTGGTTGAGAAATTACTAACCTTCTTCTCCAACTGATCTCGCCATTGAAATGTGCTCCTGACTTGAACAGGAGACAGCCAAAAGATAATGACGAGACGCTAACTACAAATTACACTCAATGAAAAATTATTTAAAATAATGTTCTAGGACAGCTTGGTCAGCGCTGATAGCTATTACTGAAAGCCATTAATAACTTACCGCTAATAGCCGAACCACGTTGGACCTACAGGGAGTCCCTTTGTCTGGACGCAGATTTAGAGACCACACACACACACACACACACGTAAAAGGGCTACCTGAGTAGGAGGAAGGTCACAAAAGATGGGCAGAATACGCTGTTTTAGATGTAAGACAACTCTCAGATGAGGGAGAGTAATGGCGGTTTCGATAAATTGCAGATTAGTGTGCGTTAAAAAAGCATATATCAATGTTAATCTTTTTATTCCATCAAGTGAAATATGCGTAATCTCGATTTAGAGGTATGTTATTCCACTTTTAGTGCCGCCGAGTGTCTTGGAGGCTGATCGAAAAGCGATGAACAAGCATCTACCTCGCCAGTCCAAAAACCGCCCTCGTGAGTAATCTTGTCAATCTTTGTTTACTCAAAGCCTCCACTAGGATAGCTGTCTGATTGTTGAGCCTACTATTACTCAGAAATAGCTTTTTGATTTATCATTAGTCGTTTTCTGCTGAAGACAATTCAAAATCAACTTAAAAGTAAGGGGTACGACGCTTAATTTAAATCGAGGTTCATTTTAAAATAGCCCTTATTGAAAATTGTGTAGTCTAGGGACTCATAAGAGTCACTATATATGTTTAATAATGCGAGATGTTCTCCAGTTAATGTGCTTCTTTGCACATTCGATGCACACACAATGAGTGAAATAGCCAGTCGGATCGATGGAGTCTGAGTAATGAAGAGGGTGACAGAAAAATGGACTTTTAATGCTACTTTTCTTTGAACTAATTTTCCGTTTTGGACTTGGAAGTTAAAGATGCTAAACAGAATGAATATTATTCGTACCCCCATAAACTATTAGGTTGGCAACTAAGTCATTGCCGATTTCAAATAAGAAGGCAAATTCGGAATTTTTGTTTAAAAATATAACTTTATTCAATTAGATATTGGGCGTTCTTGTCGATGACCTTTTTCCATCGTTCTGGCAGAGTAAAAATTCCCTGTTCGTAAAATGTCTGGTCTTTGCTATTAAAAAACTGAAGTAGGTTTGATCCGACATCATCCGCGTTGTTACAAATTTTACCATTTAAAGAGTTTTGCATGGAACGAAACAAATGGTAATCGGAAGGCGCAAGGTCAGGGCTATATGGTGGGTGTGACAAAACATCCCAACCCAGTTCCAATAATTTTTGCCGAGTAACCAAAGATGTGTGGGGGGGGGGAGGCCTTGCGTTATCATGATGGAAAACAACACCCTTCCGCCGATTTGATAATGCCGGCCGCTTATCTTCAATTGCATCCTTCAGTTTTTCGAGTTCTTCAACATACACATTTGAATTTATCGTTTGGTTCTGCGGCATGAGTTCAAAATACAAAATTCCTTTGTGATCCCACCACACTGACAGCATAATCTTTTTTTGGCGAATCTCTGCTTTTGATACCGTTTGGGCTGGTTGATCTTGCTTCACCCATGATCTCTTGCGAGTAACATTGTTATAAACTATCCACTTTTCGTCGCCAGTAACTAGGTTCTTCAGAAATGGATCATTCTCATTGCGTTTCAGTAGCGAATCACAGATGCTAATCCGTTGCGTCAAATGAATTTCCTTTAACTGGTGAGGGATCCATAAATCAAGTTTCTTGACATAACCAAGGGTTTTTAATTTTTTTCAATGCATGTATGCGACACATTGAGCAGCTTCTCTGCAATATCTCGTGTTGTGCTGTGACGATTTGAATCGATAATGGCCTTGATATGGGTTTCATCCACTTCGACTGGGCGACCAGATCGTTGTGAATTTTTCAGTGAAAAATCACCGGAACGAAATTTTTCAAACCAATTTCGACACTGCCTTTCTTCCTCACGGCTTCATCTCCATATACGGCACATAACTTCTTTTGTGCTTGCGATGCGTTCTTGCCTTTTCGGAAGTAATACNAATCGAATATGGCATAGAGTGAGGTGATGGCTATTTGAAGTGAGAAGTCAACTGCCATTAAATAGGGATCATGGTAGTTTGAAGTCAACTGCCAGGTAATTGACGGGGTAGTTTGAAGTGAGAAGTCAACTGCCAGTTAATATAACGAATATGACATAGAGAAGTCAACTGCCAGTTAATAGATCATGGTAATTGAAGTCAGAAGTCAACTGCCGATTAATAGACTTGGGGTCATGATAGTTTGAACTCAGAAGTCAACTGCCAGTTAATAGACTTACTCATGGTAGTTTGAAGTCAACTGCCAGGTAATAGACTTTAGTTTGAAGTGAGAAGTCAACTGCCGATTGATAGACTTTTATTTGAAGTCAGAAGTCAACTGCCAGTTAATAGACCTTTTCAGTCAGAAGTCAACTGCCGGTTTATAGACTTTTTTGCCGTTTGAGTAGTCAGAAGTCAACTGCCGGTTAATAGACTTTTTTGTGAAGTGAGAAGTCAACTGCCATTTAATAGACTTTTTGCCGTATGAATATACGTTGCCCAGGGTGCACCACGTGGAGGTAAATCTATCGCACACCCCATAAGCTGATTATAAAGTGAGTAATTTTATTATCCATATTTGTTGGAGTTTTGGCAACCGCAAAATTCAAACTTTGGGTTCCATTCTAGATGTTTCCCCTAAAGAATAATTTCTTTAAAAAAATTGCATAAATGCCTTATCTCAATACATCCTACTACTGTGGGATTTACAGAAAACCAGAAGAAGAATCGTCGCGAACAGAGTCCTGTACACTCTTCCCGTCCACCGATTATCCCGAGCTATCAGCCTGAACAAAGGGATCATGGTGGCTTCATGAACCCAACAAGCAGCGACCTTGAACGTGTCTCTTACTCCGCTATGGTTGACGAAAGCAATCAGACCCAAACAACACCATCGCCGACCGGTAGGAAAATGGTTTTACTTACTTCATTTCAGTAGACATGATTATACACTTTAATATTTCCATTTAGAATCTTCATCATTTATGAAGCTCTTACCAAGCAATATCTCAATGTTCTCAATGATTCTGGGAGTGTTAGTCGGCTTAACTGTTTTGATACTACTAATTATTGCTTTCGGATATCGGACACGTCGTCAACGTGCGGCCTATGCACGGCGAAAAGCACTTTCTGATCAAGCGACCACCGACAATACAACCTTCTCAGATGCTGAAAAGATGAATCAACATCAGCGTCAACCAACACCTATGAACCAGCATGTCACTAACTTTAGTTATCATCCGGGCAGTGATAATGGAGGTGGTGGGGGTTCTGGGATAGCTTCTACCTACATGCCGCATGCTATGTTTGCGTCGGAGAACTGCTGGCCAACCGGTTTACAGCCCGTTCCACCTGGAGGCAACTACTTCGATGAGGAGGTTCAACAATGCGCATTCCCACCACTTGGAAGGGATTCCGGATCTCATGGTTATGCTCAACTACCAGTAAGTACTACTAAGACTGATATAACCCATATGACGAAATACTAAAGGAATGACTAATTTTCCTTTGAATTATGTTACTAACCCTCGAGCTTAGCTTCTATATTAGAAATCTAGTTATGCACTATCACAAGTTATGAACAAAGAATGGGCATATGTGCGAAACCTAAGAAGCTGAAAAGACTTATTATTAAGCTAAAAAGATATTAGTTTGTAGTGCTAATCCCAGTCATCTAAATGGGAATGAGTTTGATTACGCATAGGTATACAGAAATCGCACAATAAATTCCCGTTAATGCATAGATTAGAACTATAACCACTCTAATCAATATAAAGTCTTAAGCATCAATTTTTGATAAGAGTCTATGAATAACAATTTTATTCGAAAGAATCAGCCTTTAATATTTGGAATGACATGTAAAAGCAGAGCAGTGACAGAGCTTGGCAATTTACCACAGTACTCACCTTTTCATTTTTGCATTAGATATCTAGCTCACATCACAGCGGCTTGATATATAGTCATCAGAGCAGTACAACCACCATGAATCGATCAAATAATCAACTCCTGCCATATCAGACGCCACACAACTGCTGCCCACCTGAAAACTTCTCCGTTGGGCCTCGAATATGCTCTCCTGCAGTGAACTCAACTCTCTCCACCGAAAGTGATCGATTTTCTGGCAATGCTAGCAGTCACCCATCCTCCTTTCAACCCATTTATCAGCCCAATAGCGGGAGCTGCGTTTCCCCTCACAATATTCGACACAAATCCCAGCTTAACCAACCTCTCTGGATGGGTTATGATGAATGTCCTGCACTGACATTGCTTGATACTCCACTTCCTGATAACATGATCCAGGATATTAACGGCATAGGGAACGATATTTCTAACATCCACCCGAATGCCATGTCATTCGAAAGCTTGATTGAACCTCCGGATAGTTTCAAGACTGGTCCGCCATCGATAGGTATGCCATTGGAGGCTGTTCCTCCAAGAATGGCTCAACTACGACGGTTGGAGAAGTCTATAAATGGAAATGGCGAATGGAATTGGCAGGAAGGAGAATTTTCCGAACATTGAGCGAGCCCTCTGGCACACGACTTAAACTATCTGGCTCCCCATTATATATGATCCTCTTCAATTCCTGTTTATGAAGATTCTCTGTACCGTCCTGTATTCATTGTCCCCCCCCCCTGTTTCCAATCTCACCCTTTTCCACCACTGCATTAGGCAGTTCACAGGACTTGTGGAGCAATTGTAAATTTTATTGTAATTATTTTTCGTCTTTCTTATGAAATTTTAGTTTCATAGGAGAGTATACAATAAGTATGATAATGTGTGAATTACTACCATAATATATTTAATTAATGGGTCTGTTATAAAAGCCAGAAGAATTGGAAATTAAGTATCCGTAGAACAGCAAATCAATATTTGATGTAGATGGCAGTAACATATCACACTTTCTTTAGGGAGGAAGGAATTCGAGAGGTACTAATTCTGGTAGTAGAGCTACTTTTAGAGTCCGACCAAGTTAGGCACAATGCTGTTTCTTTTGCAAATGTCATGACTTTCCTAATGACCAACAGAATGTAACGGCCTTTTCGACTGTCAGAAATCAAGTGTAGGGCTGGAGCACTGGTGTATTAGGCAATTGTAGAGAAGGTGGAGAGGAGGTGATTGACGGCGTCTGACTTGAATGTGTGGACCCGAAGTTTTATGAATTCTGTAAGTCATTCTGATGAGCAAACCTTTGAGTTATCATACGCGTACCAAAAAAATATAAATGTCTATTTAAATCGTAAGAAAGTTAGAAATAGAAATGCATATAAAAATTATCATGTCAGCTCAAATTAAGTATATCGAATTTACGGGTATGCCTTAATATTACTCATGACGCTTGGTATAGAAATGGGTAGAGACGAATTGCACAAAATTCAAAAAAATCGAAGGTGTCACATGTATGCCGATACCTCATTACAAGCTTGAGAATCCAGTGGTGTGGTGCTGTGTGATGATTTGTGCTTATAATAATGAGTACCGTGCAATTTTGGCTGCTCTTTCATCGTTGAATTTAAGCTTAATCACTTCGATTTTCAATCAATAACATCAAATTTGATATTCTTGCGAAGCAGAAAGCATGCCCTGCTTCAGAAAATTTCACCTTTGTCTGTTTAACAAAATCGATAGGACAATTTTTGTCCATTATACAGGGGCGTTTTCGTATTTCGTTTGGTAAAAAGAAACAATAGATCTATTTTGAAAACTGAGCCCAGATTTATCTCAAGTGTGTTAAGGCAGCTTGAGAAGTGAACATTGCAAAAGAAAACACATGAAGACTATGTTAAATTCAACTCTACTACGTTTGATAAGGAATAATTAATAAAGGAAATTTAAATTCAATTTAACAGAACTTAAAAAGGTATATGTTGTGTGAGAAAAACGTACACTGAATAAAAGTTCCTTTTGCATAATGAGAAAGAACTCATACCAATGGCATTCTAGTAAATCCTGTTGGTTCTTTAATGCCTTTAGAAACAACTTTGTTTAAATAGCTGATTTGAAATTAAAATTGGGCAGGGGCGTGCGATAGACTTACCCCCACGGGGTACACCCTGAGCAACGTATACTCATACGGCAAAAATGTCTGTTAACCGGCAGTTGACTTTTGACTTCAAACTACTACCACCCCACTGTGTGTCATATTCGACTACTCCCACAATACTCACCTAACCTTTTTTTCTACCTTTTCTAACTTCGTATTTGAAACTCTTCTGTTCCTCCACCTCCCCTCTCGACTTTTTCCCACTTTGATGTTCCTTCCCTCTGTGAAGTCTGAAGTCAACTTAAGGGCTAATGATAGCCATAAAAATCCTACCATTTGATATAAATAAGTAAAATTAGGGTACCACATCCATCAATTAGAACCTTAGAAGACATGAATCTTTAAGCAGAGTGGGAAAATCGGTTAAATCAATAAATTATAGTGATTAAATAATCGTAGCATTATTTTAGCTTGTAAGTGGCATGATCAATAGTCTTTACCAGCATCAATAAAGTTCAATTGAGATGCAATTCGGTTCTGAAAACTACTTGATTATTAGCGGATAACCAATATTTAATCACCTACTCACAATTGGCTGTTAAAAAAGCCATGGCAAATAACCTTCCCAAACGAAGCGTTTTAATTTTTCTGCCAAACAGTTCCATCTACCATCAAAATAGCTTCTTAACTGTAAATTTGATAGTTAACTCATTAAATCCGCAAATATCGCATTTAAGCAGTGTTAATTGAAAACGCCAAAATCCTGATAAGAAGGTCAGGTATTGTTTAAAATCAACAATAAACTTTTTTCATTAATTAATGCCTTTTTCATTCAGAATTATTTCATGAATCTTGCAAATATTGACCAATAAATTTGGAGATCTCTCAAGGTCTCTGTTAGCCATTTCAACAACGCTGGCCACTAGTTCCACTAACACATGTAACCAAAACAAAAAAATAGTAACTTAATTAAAAATTGCTTTTAATGCTGAGATTGCAAGTAGTATATTCTGACAAATAGGAGTGTGTGATAGACTTACCCCCACGTGGTGCACCCTGGACAAGGTATAATCATACGCCAAAAAAGTCTATTATTCAGCAGTTAACTTCTCACTTCACACTACCATGGCCGACTGCTTGTCATATTCGACCCCTTTCACAGTACTCATCTTACCTTTTTCTCTACCTTTGTGTCTCTCTACCTCTTTTGCATCTGTGTATCGTTCTTCGGTTCCCCACCCCTCGACTTTCTTCTACTTTGATGAACCTTCCCTTTGTGAAGTCCGAAGTCAGCTAAATGGCTAATGAAGCTATCAAAACGCCTGCCATTTGAAATAAATAAATAAATATTCTGACAAATATCATGAAAGTTTCAGGGAAGTTAAGGGAGGCGTTTAACATTTTATGAAAGCTCCTTAATACTATCTGCGTGCATTGGGTGCCAGCCAAATCAATTTTGCATTCGAAATTTAAGTTCTATTTCGAAAAAGACCGAATATTCCATATCAAATTTTCGGTTCCATGCACATATTCGGGGAAATCTGAAAGGTCATCTGAAATACCCAATATGAAAAATTCACCACAAGCGAAGAAAGTATTATTGGCCACAGGAATTCGGAAAAAAGGGTAGTTATTAATCTTGTCAGGGTAAAGGTTGAACCAAAGCTTACAAAATTGCGGTAAGAATTTAAGAGCTTTATTAAGTCAATTCAATTTGATGGCGCTCTGAGTCAATCAACAATTCGTATAATCCATAGTCCATTCGTTTATAAAATAAAAAAATGTGGAATTTTAAAAGATAATCACTGCTTATTTGCTACGCAAAGGAATTAAGCCTAATCAGAAGGTTCTTGAAAAATGAAGGCATTTGGAGAAAATGTCCGTGTTCAGGGTGACAAATTAAAATTTTGAAATATCAAACAAATGAACAAATGAAACTACTTGGAATGGCTATGGCTTTGCAGGAACGTTTCCAAATGTGGCATTGGTCGTTTACGGAGAGTAGGATAACGCAGATGTATATATCACGTTGAGGTAGGTCAGTTGGTTGTTCACAGAGCAAACAGCCATTTATATATATATATATATATATATATATATATTGGGTCTTTCCAATAGATAACGCTGTTGATAATTGACTTGGGGGTTAGGGAGGTTATATGTTGGATATAATTTACTCCCCTAAAGTTATTTATTTCAAATGGCAGGCGTTTTGATTGCAATCATTAGCACATTAATTGACTTCTGGCTTCACAGAGGAGAAGAACATCAAAATGAGAAAAATTCGACAGGGGGAACAGAAGAGTGATTCACAGATGTAACAGGGACAGAAAAACAGACAAATGTCGAATATGGCATAGAGTGGGATGAT